CCCCTCAGGCTGCAGCATGTACAGCTCCTCCAGGATGATCCCATTCAGGAAAGCAGTAATGATGTCCATCTGCTTGTTCTTCCATCCACGGTTTGCAGCCATTGCCAGCATCGTCCTCAGTGTAGTCCCTTTCCCCACAGGAGCAAAGATATCGTCAAAATCCTTCCCCTTTGTCTGCTGGAACCCCTTAGCCACAAGCCTTGACTTGTAGCGGGTCAGCTCCCCATCAGGTCCGTACTTGTGCCTGAAAATCAGCTTGGAAGAAATGGCCTTCTTCCCAAGAGTCAGCTCACACAGCTCCCACGTCTCGTTCTCCAGCAGTGAGTCGTACTCCTCCTTCACACTCTGCTTCCACTTCTCAGCATCGGGCCCACTCAAGGCCTCGGTAAGCGTCTTGGGCTCGGGGACGGCTGCCCAGTAGCAGTGCGCTATCTCCTCCTCATCACACTGCTCAGCCACACTCCCAGCCCGCACCACCTTTGGCTTCCCAAAGCTCGGATAGGTCAGCCGGTTAGGAGGGCGCACATCCCTCCTAGGACGGTCAGTCGTACGTGCGGCACCTTGTGGAGCACTTTGCTGCTGCTGCTGCTGCTGCGGCTGCTGCTGCTGCTGCTGCTCCTCCACCTCAGGTTCTTCTCCATCCTCAGTCACCCCAGAGATCTCCTCCCCCGACACGGAGACCTCCACCTGCCTTGAAGGCCGCTGCACCTCATCGGCCTCAATGATCAGCGGTGTCGTAGGAAGCTTCTGCTGCTGCTGCTTCCACTCCTTGTAGTACAAGGACTCGAGGAACTTCACATCCCTCGACACAGTCAGCTGCTGATTGGTCAAATCCCAAATCAACCAGCCCTTGTGATCCTTGGCAAGTCCCAAGACCCCATCTCCCAGAAGCTTCCAACTTTCCCCTCTTCTCCTTCGGCACATGAAACACCACCATGCAGCCGTAGGCTCTCAGCATGTTGACTGCTGGTGCACTCCCATACCACTTGGTGTAGGGAATCAACTGCTTGTCCCCCACAGTCGCCAGCACCCTGTTCTTCACAACGACGACCTGCCTCAGTGCAGTCACCCAAAACGGATCCGGCAGCCCTGCACGCCCAAGGAGAGTGCGAGCACCTTCCTGTAGGGTCCGGTTGAACCGCTCAGCCACGCCATTCTGCTGAGGGTTGTAGGGCACTGTGAGCTGATGCTGGATCCCCTTCTTCTTCAGCACCGCCTCAAAATCAGCGCCAATGAACTCTCCCCCGTTGTCGGTGCGGATCACTTTCACCTTGTGTCCGCTCTCCCTTTGAGCTCTCGGCATCCACTCCTTAAGTACAGCCGCTGCCACATCCCCTTTGGTCTTGAGAGGGTACACCCACACCGCACGTGTGTGGTCGTCCACAATGGTTAAGAAGTAGCGGCTGCCCGAGAGAGAAGTGGCCCTCGTGGGGCCCACCACATCCATGTGCACAAGCGCAAGTGGCGCCTTGGCTGGTCCCGTGCTGCTGCTGAAGGGAAACTTTGTGAACTTTGTCTCAAGGCATGTAGGGCAGCTCCCAATCTCCTTTGCTGCCCCCTTCAAGCTCCCATCTTTCACCAATTTCTGCAGCATCGGAATGTTGATGTGGCACAACCTCTCGTGCCACGTCTCCCAATCGGCCTCACCACTCCCAGATGAAGCCTTTGCCCATGCAGCTGTCGCATCCACACCTGCAAGCACCTCACCATGAGGCTGCTGTGGCTGCTGCACCTTCTTGACTGCATTCAGGGCCCCAGCAGTTGGTGCAGTCTCCTCTCCTCCCGCAGTTGCCTTAGCCGCTGCCGCTGCCTTTGCCGTTGCTGGTGGTTTCCCATTCCAAGGGATGATGGGCAGCTGCCACAGGTCCTTGATGCAGCTGCTCTTCTCCTCCAAATCCCACAGCAGCAACTTCCCAAGTTTCGCACGGCAGCTGGTTGGGCCGAATGTTACTTTGGCCTTGCTTTTCTGCAGCCGGCGCACAGAGAGAAGGTTAGCGGACAAGCCTTCGACTAGCAGCACATTTCCCAGTCCCACAAGTCCCCCATTGGCTCCCATCACCTTGGCATTTCCCACACCAATCACAGGGAGCAAAGCACCTGAAGCGGCAGCCACAAACTTGATCTTCCCAGGGGGTTTCACCTCATCGAGCAAATCTGCCCGCGGAGTCATGTGACTCGTGCAACCTGAGTCTATCACCCAGTGAGTGAGGGGGTGCATCACAACCTTCCCAACTGAACCCACATCATCCTCACTCACTTTCACATCCTCAACCATGAGGAACAACCCAGGGTCAGCTTTACCTTGTGCACCATCACCTTGTGCACCTGAACCTTGCACAGCGCCACCTCGTGCGCGTTCACCACTTGGCGGCTTCATGCCTGGAGGCGCCCATCCTTCAGGCCGGCTGAAACACTTGAACCACGGGTGTCCAGCCTTCTTGCAGTACCAGCATGCACCCTCCATTCGGGTGCTCCCCCTGCCACCAGAGCTCCCATGCCCCTCGTTGTAGTCACCTCGGCCTCTTCCTCTGCCAAAGCCTCTCCCGCGGCCTCGGCCTCTCCCTCCCCCTCTTCCTCTGCTGCCTCCTGCAGCTCCATACCCCTCAGCAGTTTTGTTGGCAGCACCACCTCCCGTGTGGCGCCTGCGGAAGTCCTCCTGCAGGATCTGCTGCCGTAGCCACTCAGGCGTCCACTTGTCCTGCTGAACGTTGAGGGTGGGGATGAGGTTGTCCCACGAGTTGTCGAGCACCGAGATGATCTTGGTGCACTGCTGCATCTCCGACACCTTGCTGCCCGCCGCTGCCATCCTCGCATATGTGTCCTTGATTTTGTCCAGGACCGGCTTCACATCATCTCCCGGTCGCATGGAGAGGGCAGCCAGCTCCTTCTCCAATACGATCACCATCGGCAGCGTGTTGGGTTGTACCACGTCGCGTAGCAGCTTCCAAGTCCTTGATGTGCTGGAACATGTCGTTGTTGACCGATTGGAGGATAAGGTCGTACAGCACCGCGCTCCGCTCAATCCATCGATCGCGGGCATCACCTTCCTCCGGCATCTTCTCTTCTCCCATCGCAAGTTTCAGCAGCTTGTAGCGCTTGAAGGCGCTCCGCATCCGCCCGCTCCATTCCTCATAATTGGAGCCATCCAAAGCCTCGATCTTGGATGGTGGCGGCTCACTCTTCTTCTCAGCTGCTTCTCCACTCATCTCCTCTGCTCCCAATCAGAGGTTTCAGCTCCCCCTTTTTGCTGTACACAATGTAGATCCACACAATCTTCACAAGTGTCGGCTTTAACGAAATTTCGGCAGAGTTTCCCCTTAGCGGAAGTCACTCCCAACCTCCAGAACTCCACTTAGGCACGCCCACAGGCCATGGTGGGTCTAAGAGGGTCTTTACACTTCAGTAGACTCTCCACAAAGTCCTCAATCAGCTCTGATACCACTTGTTAGAGACTAAGGACGGAGTCTATGAAGATTAGGTGCCCAAATATCTCAAAAATCGTTGGCTTCAAATTCTGGACAGAAACCGCGACTTCACAAGAAACGTCGTCGGCTAAAATAACACCGTTAGAATTATCTCAAACTCGAGATGTTGTAGCCTGTAACCAGGGCTATCTTTCCCAATTTGAATCGTATCAAATGGTGGAGTAAATCTTGAGCTATGATTTTCGGCGCACTAGGGGGTATGCTGCCACACAGAAACTTAACTCACTCACAATAGTTCTCACAAGTTCACAAGTTACACACAAGAGAGTTAGAGTGGCACTAAACCAGGTGGGAGGGAAGAGGAGGACGAGAGGGAAGGTCCCAAGGAGTCCCCAACCAAAGGAAACCCCATGCCACACAATTCCCCTCTCCATAGATAACCCCACTTTCACATTTGTCACTTTCCCAACTCATGCCATCCACCTCAACCCACTTGGCCACACTTGCCAACCTGGTTTGGCTTCTCCCAACCACATGGCAGCAATCTACAGTGATGGGTTCGAATGTCCCAACCCCAAAAGTCTGTACCCCTTATGGAGCAAACCCCACAACTTCCCATAGTCGCCGCAACCAAAGTACAGAAAGCATACGAACTCCAACGTTCGTAACTTTCTTGATATTGCTCCGATCGCGACGATTCTTGGTTCGTCGGGAAGCTCTTGAGCAGAGCAATCACTTCAGATATCTGCTCAAGCCAAATGACATTCACACACACTCAGAAAATCCAAACCGCGCAAAACACAAATTCTTGCACACGCTCATACTACGCATGCAACACACGAACACATGATGGGAGGCAGACAGACGTGAATGCATATGGTTGCATCACACAACACCATAACCCTTGGGGGGAGGGCAATAAGGGGGAGGCTTGCGACGACCCACATGGCTTGCGACGACGACCCACTTGGCTTGCGACGACCCACATGGCTTGCGACGACCCACTGTGCTTGCGACGACCCACTTGGCTTGCGACGACCCACTTTGCTTGCACGAGCCAACCTGGCCTGTCCCTCGATGACAAGTCCCGACCCAGCCCTAGCTGGACCCGTTAAAGAAAAGAGCCTAGGCCGGTTTGCTGTGAGATGGGCCTAGGCCTAGCTAGCTAGGCCCTTGCTCACACACCTGCTGCCATGCCTTCCACCCACGTGCACGGGGTTGGAGCCATCGGGCAGGAGGAAGCCGCGAGGAGTCAATGCTGTGTCGGTCAGTATCTTCTCCTTTATGCATTCCTCCAATCCCGTCATCGCCTTCTCACCACTCCTCACTGCCTCTCTCCACTCCCTCTTCTCGCCTCTTTGCATCTTCGCTCGCTCGGCTCTCAACCACTCGCCCATCCGCTTAGCTCTCTCCATCCCCTCAACCAGTGTCTTCTCGGATCCCTTCAGTGCTACCTGCGCTTCTTCTTCCCTCCTGTTTGCCCCCAGCGCAGCCTCTCTCACCTTTCCTGCCTCCTCCTTCCTCATTCGCTCAGTCATCTCCCTCGGTATCTCTTGTGAATTTGGCACAGCTCTTTCACTCTCTTCCAATGCTCTCTTCAGCACCTTCTCCACCTGAATTCTCCGCTCTTTCTGCTGCCTCCCTCGCTCGCCTAGCCTCCATTTCAACCTCCAACTCACCAAGTCTCTCCCTCAACTCACCAAGTCTCTCCCTCAACTCACCCACCAACTCGTCGCCCTCTTTGCACCTCTTCGCCAGATCTGCAGCTTCACTCGCTTTCCTCTTCACTTCACTGACCAGCTTTTCCATTTCCTCCATGAATCTGTCCGCTGCCTCTCTTTCGCTCTCATCACGCCGTGCGAGCAGTCTCTCAGCCTCGTTCAACGCTGTTTTCCACTCCTCGTGCCACTTTTTTGCCATCTCTGCAGCCTCACTCGCTTTCCTCTCTGCCTCTCTCTTTGCTGCCTCTTCCTTTCTCACTCGCTCCTCTGTCTCCCTAAGCCTCTCCTCCAACCCTGCTTTCACCTGCTCGCATTCCTTTAACGCTTCCCTCAGCTCCTCTTCTCGCCTCTTCACAAGCTCACCATCCTCAGAAACACTCCTTTCCACCTCTCGTGCAATCATTTCCTCTTCTTTGCTCAATCCCTCCTCGGCCTCCCTAAGCCTTCCCTCCAATTCAGCCATCAGCCTCACTGCCCCACTCATCTCCTCTTCCATCCTCTTGATCCTTAAATTAGCCTCAGCCAACTTCCTTTCTAATTCCTTTCTCTTCACACCCTCCTTCTCTCTCAATCGCTTCTCCCTTTCCTCCATCTCAACAACCCTCGCCTCCACTCGCGCTTTCACAGTGGCCTCCACAGCCCGCTGAAAGCACCCAATGAGCACAGCCAATGATAACTCATCTGCCCTCCTCGCTGCCTCCATGCGATCGACACGTGTCATCACGCCAGCAGCTTCCACCTTATCATCACTAGCCACGTCACCCGTTCTCTCGTCAGCCGCTGCCACATCATGTGCCTCGCCATCACTGTCCACGTCATCGACTTCTACCTCTCCTTCTTCTCTCTCCACAGCCAGCAAGGGGCCCACAATATTGCCAGCTGGAACGTCACCAGCCATGTCATCACCTACCGCCTCATTATCTGCCACCTCAGCACCTACCACGTGAGCACCTGCCATCTCACCAGCTGTCAGGTCATCACGTCCCAACTCCAAACCGACTACCTCATCATTTCCCTCCGCTCCTTCCTCTATCTTAACAACTACTCCATCGTTCCCAGCGGCACCTCTCCTCCTGTAGACCTTTAGGCCAAACCCTTCGTCAACGCACGTGGAGGCTCTCCTCTTTGTACCACTCCTCCCATCGTCCGACTCCCTCCCCTCGTTTCTGCAGTTTCCCCGCTTCTCCGCCGTTGCACCCATTTCTGCGCACAGTCGCCCCGCCTGCTTCCTGGGTGTCACGGAATGGGAATTTTCCTCCTCTCCTCTCCCCGGGCCCGCTTCGCTAACGATTGCCGTCGCTGCTGCCATTGCGTCTTCGCGGCGCCCTGTGTAACGCTTACCTACCTCACACACCTAACTCGCTGCTAAATCGACCTAGTTCTAAGTCGAGAGACTTCTTGACGGAAGGATGAGGAAGATGAGGTTGGGTTGAGGAGGTATGGGATGTGAAATGTTGGTTTGGTTTTCCCAACCCTCAACCTTGAGGCTTGGAAACATTCCAACCCATCAAAGTGGGGATTGAATGGTTGGATTTCCAACCAATCAAATTGTGCCAGTTGGTGTTACAATCCAACCAAACACAAAACAACTATCCAACACAATTAAGTTGGGTTTTCCCAACCAAACAAATATGCCACCTAGGCTCCAAGGCTATTAGCTCCCCAACCATGGAAGCCATGGTTGGGAAGAGCCCCAAGGGGTATTGTGGAAGGGGTTGGAGCTTTCAAGCTCATTCCCACTTCCCAACTCCAACTTACCAACTTGGAAATGGGATTTCTCTAAGTCTTGTGTGTCTCTCTAACAAGCTCTCCTACACAACTATGATTGTGTTTACTTAAAGGATAAGCTCTACAAGAAGCTCCTACCTACTTGCTAAAGCTTCACCAACCTTCTTCAAGCTCTCTTCCTCCTCTCAAGCTTCAAGAGTATTATCAAGGCTAGTTTATCCCTTGGTGGGATTAGTTTAATCTTGGAAGCCTTGTATCTTGATTTTATATAAATTGTCAAGGAGGATTATATTAAACACACGGTTGCCCGTTGTTATAAGGGCCGTGGTTGTTACATTGGTATCTAGAGCTAGGGTTATCCTAAGCCTAGTGGGAATTTTGCCCCTAGAGATTTTTTTTTTTTTATAGATCTTGGAGTTGTGGTTTCTCTTTAAGAGGACACTCAAGATCTGGAAGCTTGAAGGTTCAAGAGCTACAAGATCTACAACTGCAATTTCAAGCTAAGAAGAGAGATTTATCTCCCTTGCCCACCTTTTGTTGGAAGACTCTCTACTATTGAGTAGTGGAGTATAAACTTTGATCTGGTGGATTTGTTGAGGGTTATACAAATTCTCTTTATTGAGATTTGGATAGACCCTGCCCTTTCACTTAGGTGATTGGGGGTGTTGGCAACAAATCTGTTACCTTTGGTAACATTGGATTATTCTGTTGAAGAAATTTCTTTTATAAGAATTTCTTGCTTTACCATTGAGTTGGTAAAAGGTTTTTAACAGAATCAACCCAGATCTTACAAGCTCCCTTAATCCTTATGGCATCTGGCCAAGAGAAGGATATGGCAAGGGAGGAAGGGCCCACTGCACCTAATGAGGTGGTGAACAATGCTGCTGAGATTGACCTCAATCAAGATGAGGCAATGGCTGACATTGAGCTGGATGATATTGAGAACCTGGACCTGGAGGATGAGGATAACTATGTTGAGGCTGATACCCACGTTGAAGCTAATACCCATGGTGAAGCTGAGAACCATGGTGAAGCTGACAACCATGGGGAGGAGGATAACACCGGTGGAAAGGAGGCCACTGGTGATGAAAATGACTTCACTGAGGGTGAAGGCACGACTTATCCTATCTCCGAGGAGATTGTCCAACTCCAGGCTAAAGTGGCAACTCAGAATATCACCATCCTGCAGCAGCAGACGCCCATTGATGGACTCAAGAAGCATACTCAGAATATTGAGGCTGAGATGCGCATTGTCATGAAGGAGGCTACTGAGTTGCGCCGCAGCTTGGGCACTAAAAGCCGCCAAATTGAGTGGCTTCAGAAGACTTGCAATAATCTGCGAGCAACAGTCACCAAGCTCCATGAGCAGGTGACCCAGCTTAGGAGGGAGGGTATCTACGAACCTCCTCCTAGGCGTAGGCCCGCTCCTGCTGCTCAGCCGGCACCTGCTCCGTCCGCACCTGCGCCGGTAGGCGCTGCGACGGCTACGCACCAGCCACCTCCAACCGAGACCTCGCCCTTTGGGTCTCTCTCGGCGCCTCTGCCTGAGTTTAACCATAGCAAGACGGAGGTGCAGCCTTGGCTTGACCTGGTGAATGACACCATGGTCCTTGCGAATGTGCGTCCTGAGGCTCGCGTTACTGCAGCTACTCGTGCATTGGACGAGGTGGCCCGCAGGGCAGTGTATGGCGCTAAGAAGCAGGCTCAGGGACCGTTTGGATGGTCGGAGCTCTGCACCGCGCTGAAAGAGGCATTCATGGTCAAGAAGTCCGACCTGGAACTGCGCGGACGTCTTGAGAGAATCAAGTGCCATGACCGTTCGGTGCAGGAATATGCGGTCGAGCTTGAAGCCGCAACACGTTTGCTCCAGAAGCCCTTGTCTGAGGAGGAGATGATGCACGTCTTCATGAAAGGCCTCCCTGTCAACCTGCAGCAGGCATACATGACTGGTGGCATGACCAATTGGACGACTTACAAGGAGATGAAGGAGCAGGTCATCAAAACTAACAACATCATCCGCACGTACATCTATGGTCCTGCAAAGCCAAACCAGCAGCCCCGTGCTGAGGGCTCTGGTGGTCGTGGGAACCATCCCCAGAATGCCAATGGCGGAGGCGGTTCAAACAAGCGACCTTTCCAGCAGCGTGATCGTCAGCCTGAACCACAGGCCAAGAGGGCTAACGGGGGGGGAGGTCAGGGCCCTAACAAGCCGGATTTCTCCAAGATGCAGTGTAACGGCTGTGGAATGATCGGACACATCATGAGGCAGCGCCGTAACAAGAACCAAATCAAGTACTCTGGGACGCCTAAGCCAGGCGGCGCTGGACCTTCTGGAAAGAAGGATTTTCAGAAGCCCAACTAGGGTGTGGGTACCTAGTTGGAGGAGTAGATCGAGTGGATGAGGCATATGTGCTATGTGATGATGATATATTAAAGCTAGAGAAGCTTGCTGATTGCAAAATCTCTTGTTTGTTTGCCTCTTCTTTTAATAAAAACTCTGTTTTTTATCCTCGATCGTACCCACTCGAGAACATTTCCATGGAAGCAATGCAGGATAAATTTTCAATTGTTTTCTGTGGCTTTGACATTTTGCCTTCTGTCATTGAGATTGTGAGTCGTTGTACTCAAGAGCACCCCCGGATTTCGGTCGCGTTGGTGACTCGCACAGTGAAAAGCGAATTGTTCCATGCGCTTCGTGGATGGCCGGTCCTAGCGGCGTGGGACAAGGGACACCATGTGTGGTGGACCAACTCTCAGTCGCATGGACGCTCTCGTCACAACGTCAAGGTGTACTACAAACCTTCGACGAGTATTGTGGCATGTCCTATTCGCCCAAAGGTTCAACAGAATTTGTTGCTTGCGGGTAGCGTGAACGGGGAAAATGCAAAAATCCTTGTTGATACGGGTGCAACTATGTCCCTTTTTTATGAAAAGTGGGTCACAACACGCACGATCCTCGTTGAAGGACCGTCTTGCCCCATTCGTCTTGGAAATGATAGCATCATCCCAAGCAAAGGGCAGACACAGATCAACATGGAGATTGAGGGATACCGCGAAGAAAATTTCGCATATGTGTTACCCCTTCTCGCAGGCGTCGACCTTGTCCTTGGAATGGATTGGCTTCGAGCGAATGAAGTTAAGCTCAATTTCCAGGACAATAGTGTCTCATTCTCAAAGAATGGTGATACTGTCCAGTGGCAAGTGCCCAAGGACTTGATCACGAACGGCCAACCCACGTTGGAACGCCCCGACGTGAGTTTTGCGCTTGCAAATGAGTTTGAACATCATGTTCGACAAGCTGATACATTCTTTGTGGTACAGCTTGAGAATGCTAAACAAGAACATCCTGGGGTCGAGGATTTTCCGCCTCAGATAAAAGCACTGGCAGACGAATTTGTGGAGGTTTTTGAGCCCATCCCAGATGGCCTTCCTCCGGACCGTGCTGAAGGTCACACCATCCCAGTGGAGCCTGGAAAACTCCCACCGTTTAGACCTCTGTATCGCCTCAGTCCAGCTGAGTACGAGGAGGCTAAACAGCAAATTGAGGAGTACCTCAGGAAAGGATGGATTGAGCCAAGCGCATCGCCTTACGGAGCGCCAATCTTGTTCGTGAACAAAACGGGCGGAGGCTTACGCATGTGCGTAGACTACCGTGCTCTGAACAAGATAACGGTGAAAAACAGGTATCCCCTACCAAGGATAGAGGACCTGTTCGATAAACTCCAAGGTGCTCAGTGGTTTAGCGCACTAGACCTCGCACAGGGGTATCATCAATTGCGCATCACTTAAGAAGGTGTACCCAAAACGGCTTTCCGTTCACCGTTTGGTCATTTTCAGTGGCGAGTGCTGAGCTTTGGCTTGACCAATGCTCCTGCCTCTTTTCAGAGGGCCATGAACGATGTCTTTCGCGAGGCGATTGGACAGTTCGTCCTGGTCTATCTGGATGATATCTTGGTTTATTCCAAGACAGAAGAGAAGCACACACGACACCTTAAGTGGGTGTTGGGGAAACTACGAGAGCATAAGTTCTATGCTCGTCTGTGGAAATGTCATTTCTACAAACGCGAGTTGGAATATCTTGGCCATCTCGTGGGACATGACGGTCTCAAAGTCGACCCAAAGAAAGTTGCCGCAGTCCAGAACTGGCCAGTGCTACAAGATGTGGGACAAATCAGGTCGTTTTTTGGACTGGCAAACTATTTTCGTCGATTCTTGCAGAATTATTCTACCTTTGTGGCTCCATTGACGGCCCTCACTCGCAAGAGTAGCGCTTGGCAATGGACACAGCAATGCCAAAAGGCATTCGACGAGGTCAAGCGAATGCTGACCAACGCTCCGGTACTGGTTTTACCAGATCCGACGAAACCCTATGAGGTCGTTACCGACGCCTCATTGATAGGGATTGGGGCTGTCCTCTTGCAAGAGGGGAGACCAGTGGCATTTGAGAGTCGAAAGCTCTCCCCGGCAGAGCAGCGCTATACGACGTCCGAACATGAATTGTTGGCGGTAGTTCATGCGCTACGAACATGGCGATGTTATCTGGAGGGTGTGGACTTTGTGGTTACGACCGACCATTGTCCAAACACCTACTTCTCCACCCAAGCCACGCTTACTCGACGCCAAGCCCGATGGGCGGAACTCCTTAGCGGGTTCACTTTCGATATTCGATATCGAGCAGGTTCGACGAACCTGGCTGACCCCCTCAGCAGACAGCCGATAGGGGCAGCAACACGGCTAGACGACACAGAGGATGCAGCGGTATTTTCTGCTTGCTTCAGTGTCCTAGCAACGGCTCGAGTGAGTGAGATTACCTTCAGTGGTTTTCTGAAACGCATCCGCACAGGGTATCAACTTGACCCCTGGTTTCAGAACCCACGAAACATGAAGGAACTCAAGTGGGAGCATGAGCTCTGGTGGCGTAAGAATGAGATTGTTGTACCTCACGTGGGCAACCTGCGGAATGATATTCTGGAAGAAGTGCATGCCGCTAAGTACGGAGGACACCTAGGGGTCAAGAAGACCAGGTGGGCCCTGAGCGATGTGTACTGGTGGCCGGGACTAGGCACTTAGGTCCAGCAATTCGTGACGCGCTGCGATGCATGCGCACGGAATAAAACGGACACAAAGAAGCCTGGTGGTCTGCTTCAACCACTCGAAATCCCGAATGAACCTTGGCACGACTTTGTCAAATTACAACCAACCTGTCAAACTGTCACCACTTTTCTACCCGACAGTCAGAACATTGGGAGACACCTCCGCATCTGGGCTTAGCTGGACCTACGCATAGAACGCCAACTAGAGCCACGACGATAAAATCCTCATTCGATGTAAGCGCCAGGTAAAATACCAGAGCTCGTTAGGGGACAAAATAGCTACGTGAGAATGGTGGGAATGCCAGAGCGCGGACTGCATCGGTTATGAGGTGGAGCATGTCGCGATAAAACGGAATAGGATTTCGTGGTTCACGTCGCGACAGAACAGGCTTAGCGACGCCAAACAAAAGGCCCAGGGGGCGCTCGTGTTGCGCAAGGCCTCGAGAGGTGACATACCATGGCATTGAATAGGACGGACCCATGGGATTGGTGGAAGAGAATACGTAGCACATCCGATTGGTTGTCTGCGGCGCTTTATGATAGGAGGAATATCGGAACGCGTGTGTGCGGGACAGGATAAAAAAATGCGTACCGAGGTTGTCAGGCGTGGGTGAACGGAAGAAATGCGAAATGGGCAGGGAATAGCGCGGGATGAGAGGGTGAGATGAGGAATGGGTGTGTGGTGCGCGGTGTGCGAGGGGGAAACGCCGAGAGGGTTTGTGGGGCACGGGATTCAAGGGGAAAATGCAAAATGGGTGTATGGGGCGGGGTATGTAAGGGGAAAGCGCGGAATGGGTGTGTGGGGCGGGGTATGCAAGGGGAAAACGCTTAGTGGGTGTGTGGGGCGAGTATGCGAGGGGTAAACGCGGAACGAGTGTATGGGTGGAGTATGCAAGGGGGAAAACGCGGAATGGGTGTATGGGGCGGGGTATGCAAGGGGAAAGCGCGGAATGTGTGTGTGGGGCGGGGTATGCAAGGGGAAAGCGCGGAATGTGTGTGTGGGGCCGGGTATGCAAGGGGAAAACGCGAAGTGGGTGTGTGGGGCGGGCTATGCAAGGGGGAAACGCGGAATGAGTGTATGGGCGGAGTATGCAAGGGGGGAAAACGCGGAATGGGTGTGTGGGGCGGGGTATGCAAGGGGAAAGCGCGAAGTGGGTGTGTGGGGCGGGGTATGCAAGGGGGAAACGTGGAATGAGTGTATGGGGCGGGGTATGCGAGGTTCTCCCACCCTCTCCCACTCTTCTCCCACCCACCTCCTGGAAACCGCTCCCTAGGAGTTCCCCCCCGGTCTCTTCATTTCCCCCCCTGCTCCCTGCAGTTTCCCCTCTGCTCCCTTCAGTTACCCCCGTCCTCTCTTCATTTTCCCCCCCGCTCTCTTCATTTTTCCCCCTGCTCCCTTCAGTTACCCCCTTGCTCCCTTCAGTTACCCCCCTGCTCCCTTCAGTTACCCCCCTGCTCCCTTCAGTTACCCCCCTGCTCCCTGCAGTTCCCCCCCTGCTCCCTTCAGTTACCCCCGTCTGCTCTTCATTTCCCCCCCCGCTCTCTTCATTTTCCCCCTGCTCCCTTCAGTTACCCCCCTGCTCCCTGCGGTTCCCCCCTTCCTCCCTTCAGTTACCCGCCTCCACTCTTCATTTTGCCACCCCGCTCTCTTCAGTTCCCCCCTGCTCCCTTCAGTAACCCCCCTGCCCCCTGCAGTTTCCCCCCTGCACCATGCAGTTTCCCCCCTGCACCATGCAGTTTCCCGCTTGCTCCCTGCCATTTCCCTCCCCCCTGCACCATGCAGTTTCCCGCTTGCTCCCTGCCATTTCCCTCCCCCCTGCACCATGCAGTTTCCCGCTTGCTCCCTGCCATTTCCCTCCCCCCTGCACCCTGCAGTTTCCCCCCTGCACCTAGCTTCTCTCTGAATTCCTCACCATAGTTTCTCCGTATGTCTCTTCTCCATTTGCTCTACTGTCTCCTCCTCTCCCCCCTGCTGCTTCCTGCCATTCCTTCTTCTCACCAGTTCCCCTTCCTATCGTTCTCCACCACGGCTCCCCTATATAGCAGATGTTCTGCATACGGGCGGCGGCAACACAATCCCCTGCACATCCACCTGCCCAAACGCGCCGACTTTCTCAGACATAAACTCGATGTCACTTCCTCCCCCCATCCACCAGTAAACAAACATGTACTCTCACCATGTGTGCATGATAATTTGCAAGTGACAAGCATGTTTGACTCATTATTTCAACCATTCTCTCTAAACAGTAAACAAACACTATTCTAGCATCATACTTTAGCACCTAATAATTGGGATTTCCAACCATCTACCGGTAGCAGACAAGTCACAACCCAGCCACTAAACATGCTCAGTTAGCTAAAGCTCTTGGCAACTAAACATGGCCGTCCCAGAAAAAAACGATTCGTAAATTATGAGATATGGAGCCGCTTCTCTTGCAGAAGGGACGTTGGTGAAAGGGTGTGTGATGAACCCCCCATTCTCGTATGTACGGCCTGTGCCACTCACCCTCCGCTCCTCGCACATTCATTGCTCTTAGTGGGTAGTACACGGAGGAGTGTGCGAGAGGTGCCAGGGGTCGGAGTGTGTTCCACAGGATTGCTGGAGAGGACAAAGCAGATGAAGCAACAGGAGGGATGCGAGACGAAGCACTGAGGGGAAGAGGGGGAAGTGCAGGGGGAAGAGGCAGGGAATGGTGCAGTGAGGCGGAGCAAGGTGCATGTTTGTAAGAAGCGAAACATCCCCCCACCCTGTCCCCCCCCACCATGTGCACTGGACTGTGGAGGGGAAGGGGGGAAGCAGAGGGGGAATAGTCTCTGTCCTGAACGCAGCGGGGTGAGGGGAAGGAGCGGGGCAGGAATAAATGGGCAGCAGGAAGGGCGAGGAGCGCACTGGAAGAAGTGGCAGCAGACAGGAGCAAGCAAGCATGGCAGTGAGAGCAAGCATGGCAGTGAGAGCAAGCATGGCAGTGAGAGCAAGCATGGCAGTGAGAGCAAGCAAACACCCCGGCACATAAAAAAGCATGCACATGGACAAGCATGGGCATAGAGATGCACACTCATAGACATGCATGCACATAGACATGCATGCACCTAGACATGCATGCACATAGACATGCATGCACATAGACATGCATGCACATAGACATGCAAGCACATAGACACGCATGCACATAGACATGCATGCACATAGACATGCATGCACATAGACATGCATGGGGATAGACATGCACCCACCACCCACCCACCCACCCACCCACCCACCCACCCACCCACCCACCCACCCACCCACCCACCCACCCACCATCAATGGATAAAAGCTGACGGTGATGTGCGGTGTAGTAGCCTGCGAGGCGTGGGAGATGTGCATGCCACAGAGGTGCCACGGAAGCACGGCAACAGATGCCATGCTAGCAGGGCGAGCGCCTGGTGGCGGGGAGGTGGATGGGGAGGTGGATGGGGAGGTGGATGGGGAGGTGGATGGGGAGGTGGATGGGGAGGTGGATGGGGAGGGGGATGGGGAGGGGGATGGGGAGGGGGATGGGGAGGGGGATGGGGAGGGGGATGGGGAGGGGGATGGGGAGGAACGCAGGGAAGGGGACATGGGGGAGCAGGGAAGGGGAGGGGGGGAATGTGTAATCGGATGGGGGGAAGCAGGGCTTGGGATAAGGAGAAACAATGAAGAGGATGGGGGGACGCAGGGAGGGGGATGGGGAGACGCAGGGCAAAGGATGGGGGGAACCAGGGAGGGGGATGTGGGGAACCAGGGAGGGGGATGTGGGGAAGCAGGGAAGAGGATGGGGGGAAGCAGGGAAGGGGATGGGGGGAATCAAGGAAGGGGATGGGGGGAAGCAGGGAAGGGGATGGGGGGACTCAAGGAAGGGGATGGGGGGAAGCAGGGAAGGGGATGGGGGGAAGCAGGGAAGGGGATGGGGGGAAGCAGGGAAGGGGTCATGGGGAGGCAGAGACGGGGAGGGGGGGAAGTAGAAATGCGGATGGGGGGAAGCAGGGCTTTTGGGATAAGGGGAAAGAATGAAGAGGACGGGGGGACGCAGGGAAGGGGATGAGGGGAAGCAGGGAAGAGGATGGGGAGAAGCAGGGAGGGGGATGGGGGGAAGCAGGGAAGAGAATGGGGGAAAGCAGGGAAGGGGATGGGGAAGGAAGGCGATTATTGGAGGGAGGGAAAAGAGGGAGTAGGGGGAGAATACGTAGGGTGACACGTGTGCGAGATGGGAAGGGAGAGCGACGGGAAGGGAGAGCGACGGGAAGGGAGAGCGACGGGAAGGGAGAGTGACGGGCGGATCCCCGCGTGTTCCCCCCCAGTCCGCCAACCTCTCCGTCGCGCTCCCCCACGTCGTCCCCCGCCCAGTGCCATTCCCCGAGGCTCATCCCCTGGGCGAACCACCCGCTGAGAATCGCGTGCGCGACACGCCTTCGCATTGCGCATATCCTCCGACGACGACTCGCCGTACCCGCTCATATCGTCGTCCTCGTTACATGCCTCCGCGTTACTAGCACTATTCGCAATGGCGGCGGGAGGGCGTATCTGGGGAGACCTAAACGCGCGACGAATCGGTGGATGGCGAACCGTGCGAAGATGTGATAGTTGCTAATAACATAGATCCGAGGTGTTCGCGAAGAGATGTGAGGCGGAAAGGCGCGGAATGAGAGCGACGGCTATCGCGCGACGATGGCGGAAGCCGATCGGAAGGCATGGCGTTTCGGAGAATATCCCATAGATTGCGCGCTTTCCTCACATCGGTGAGGAGACCCGTCGGGAACAGCGGGGGCGCATGAGATGAAACCGAGTGTGATTTGGAAACCCGAATTACCATCACGTAGGCACCCTGGGATGTCTGCTCGTAATTTCTAAGTCATGTGCTGCAGGGGTCTCTTTGGGCTTGTCGAAACTCGCACCCACCAAACCATGGTAACCAAGCAGGCGCGGACCCCTAAACGTGGTTTGGAAAAGTTGGTGCGGGAGGCACAGTGTCACCACTTTGCTTTTGACTTTGTAATTCGGGCTTTGGGCTTTAAGTTGTCATCGGCGTTCACCCACAAACGGATGGGCAGACGGAACGAACAAACCGGACACTTAAGCAGATGCTTCGTTCATTCATTGGCCCAACTCAGGATGATTGGGACGAGTTGTTACCTGTCGTTAAGTTCGCAGTGAAGAATTCAGTTCACGAGGGTACACGTGAGAAACCTTTCATTCTGAACTATGGTCGGCATCCCACAACACCTGCTACGCATGGGATCGGTGGATTGAAAATTCCAGCCGCTAAAGACTTTGTTGGCAAGCAGCAAGAAGCGCTTAAGTCTGCTCGTCATTGGCTGCAACTCTCCCAGCAGCGACAAAAGTCTTACGCCGACATGAAATGCCGGGAAGTCTCATTTGAGGTCGGAGACAAAGTTTTGTTGAGCACGAAAAACATTCGTCTCAAAATCCCTGGAGCACGAAAGCTGTTCCCTCGATGGATTGGGCCCTTTGAGGTGATCAAGCGTGTTGGTGTGGTAGCTTACAAGCTTAAGCTGCCTGATACATTGTAGATTCACAACGTCTTCCATGTGTCTCTGTTGAACAAGTATGTTGCAGAGGGCAAGTACTTGCCGCCACCAACGATCGTCCTTGGGGAGAAACTGTTTTATAAAGTCGAACGAGTGCTGATGCATCGTGATCGACAGCGCGGCCGCAAGACGGTACGAGAGTTCCTCATCAAGTGGGAAGGCTACGAGCCTGAACACAACTCATGGGAGCCAGAAGAGCATTTGACTGAAACTGCAGTTCAGTCATACATGACGGATCTGGCCCGACGAGCTGCCGCACAGCCAGTGGATGGTGTTGACCCTGGTCGTAATGTGACACGGCGTGCTCGAAGCGCTCGTCCTCAGAAGCACCTCAAGGCAACGAGGACGTTGCCAACTGAGGGGGGAGGAGTGTAACGCTTACCTACCTCACACACCTAACTCGCTGCTAAATCGACCTAGTTATAAGTCGAGAGATTTCTCGACGGAAGGATGAGGTTGGGTTGAGGAGGTATGGGATGTGAAATGTTGGTTTGGTTTTCCCAACCCTCAACCTTGAGGCTTGGAAACATTCCAACCCATCAAAGTGGGGATTGAATGGTTAGATTTCCAACCAATCAAATTGTGCCAGTTGGTGTTACAATCCAACCAAACACAAAACAACCATCCAACACAATTAAGTTAACAAACAAATCCAAGGCTCAAAGGCAAAACAACCATAACTCCCAACCAAACCCACCTAGGCTCCAAGGCTATTAACTCCCCAACCATGGAAGCCATGGTTGGGAAGAGCCCCAAGGGGTATTGTGGAAGGGGTTGGAGCTTTCAAGCTCATTCCCACTTCCCAACTCCAACTTACCAACTTGGAAATAAGATTTCTCTAAGTCTTGTGTTTCTCTCTAACAAGCTCTCCTACACAACTAGAATTGTGTTTACTTCAAGGATAAGCTCTACAAGAAGCTCCTACCTACTTGCTAAAGCTTCACCAACCTTCTTCAAGCTCTCTTCCTCCTCTCAAGCTTCAAGAGTATTATCAAGGCTAGTTTATCCCTTGGTGGGATTAGTTTAATCTTGAAAGGCTTGTATCTTGATTTTATATAAATTGTCAAGGAGGATTATATTAAACACACGGTTGCCCGTTGTTATAAGGGCCGTGGTTGTTACACCCTGCATCCATGGATCCGTTGTTTTCGCTCATCAAATCTCTCCAAACCTCTGCAGGCTCGTCGACACAAATCGACTAAGGAATGGACTATCACCAGCTTGATTTAGAGTCGAGTACAGAATAATTTCTACCCGGCTTGCACACGATGATAATAGTAGAAATTTCCAGAAGTCTTATCGTTGATTATGCGGAAACACACACGCGCTCGAACTTTTTTAAGGGCGAGTGTCTTTTGCTGTAGATTGTCAAAGTTCGAGCCTAGTACCGCTTTGTACCGTGGTGAAACGTCTCTCTGACGTATCCTACCGTGTACAACCTTTCTAGAAGTTCGAACTTTGGCAGGAGGACAAGCGCGCTACCATCAGGGCCCAAAATATCAGGGTAAAATATCCTTTTTTCCCTTTCTGTAGGCCGCTTTTTTTCAGTTACCCTGATCAAGGCAGGCTAACCGTATCGTTACCCTTTCTTCAAATTTGTGGTTTTCTTTTTACCCTTTCAAAAACAGTGTAGAAGTTTTTTTCCCCTGACTGAATAGTGTAACATAGGTGTTACACAAGGTACTGATTCGGAGAACTGAGCGTTCTTTCAATTGATCATTCGAGGGTCGAACCTGCGATCATTCAACTCGGAGAAAATTCTACAACTAAGTCACGCACGGACGGAATCCGTGTGACTAAAAAGCATCATGTTAGGTTTAAGGCTACTAATTTTTTTAGCCTGTATTTGTCAGGGTATCAGAAATTTTACCTTAGGCCATCAAGGTGGGACAGGCTGAGACCTTGATTAGGGAACGTTCCTGGCCGGTGTCAAACTTCGGGCCAGGCTGCTTGACACGAGGTGGAATAGACAGGCATGGGGCAAAATCGTTTCTTCGTGTCAGACTCCCCTGGGAAGCCTGACACCAAGCAAACTTGGCTCGAAGTTTGACACCGGCCAGGAACATTCCCTTAGGCAGGGTGGCCTAAAACCAATTTTGGGCCCTGGCTACCATCTGTGCGATCGATGTGTGTGGTTGTGCAAATCTGCAAATCAGCAGTAAACTCTCTGCACCGAACTGTAACTTGGGCTGGACCAGTACAGCACGAGAGGTTGTGGACAGAAGATTTTGAAGCAACAACACGAACATCTGAATCGAAGCACGAATTTTGTTGTTCCTGATTTGTCACGAATGACTTTCTTTCGGCAATGTAGGCGAAAGGAGTCCGATCTTAGCGAACCAGCCGCCCCGAGCGCTCAACTATAGGCATCTCTCAAGCCATAGTCCCTCCCTCTCGTTCTCGCCCTCAAGCCTCGGTTGCGCTAGCCTCGCAAAGGACGCGACGTGAGATTGTAACCCGTGATCCTCACAAGGAATTGGCTTCGGTTCTACAACGGCTTCTCTTCTTTCAATCTGCGCTAGTACCAGATATCGCGTCGCGGAGGTATTTGACCATCCGTTAGCGTCCGTGGGTTAGTCTCGGTGGCGAACGTGTCAGAATGCTATGGGTGGACAAGCACCGGCCAGCCACGCTGGACAAAATCACTGTTCACCGCGACACGGCTTTACAGCTGAAGCAGCTGGTGGGTAGCGCACAGCAGCGCATATTCCCCTCGTTTCCACCCCCCTTCCCGCTCCCAAGGCGCACACCAAATCGTATGCCCCCATCTGCTGCTGTTCTGTTCGACCTCCCCGGTCGCGCACGCCCTGCATGCCTCTCCCTTCCAGGTTCCTCGGTCCACAATTCATGTTTGTATTCCCTCCCTTCCTCTCCTCCTCGCTCCCCCTTCCCTGTGGGCCCGTACGGGCGATTGCTCGTATCCGCTGCTGTTCGGCCCGTCAGGCCAAGGTGGCATGAGGGTGCCTGTGGGCCTCCTCCTCCCCTCCGCTCCCCTCCCCTCCCCTCCCCTCCCCTCCCCTCCCCTCCCCTCCCCTCCCCTCCCCTCCCCTCCCCTCCCGTCCCCACCCGTCCCCCCCTCTCCTCCCCTCGCAGGCTCATCGAGCAACAGTAATGCGTGTCTCGTCTCGACATCTTTCCCCCCTTCCCACTCCCCCCTTCCCCCCTTCCCACTCCCCTTTCCCCCCGGGCTGCAGGTGCAAGCAGGCGACTGTCCGCACCTGCTGTTCTTCGGCCCGTCAGGTGCGGGCAAGAAGACTCTCGTGCTCGCTCTGCTGCGCGAGATGTTCGGCCCCGGGGCTGATAAGGTGGGGGCGGGGAGGGAGAGAGGGGGAGAGACGGGGAGGGGGGAGGGGGGGGTTGGGTTGGGAGGGTTGGAGAACGTGTGGGGATCGGTTGGGAGAGCGGGAGGGCGAGGGGAAGGAGGGAGAGTGACATGAGCACGTTTTGAGTATTAATGGAAACGCTCCATCTTAGAAACGAACGGTGTTGAACACTGTATCTATTGCATCCTCATGTGTGACAGGGTCCGTCAGCTGTGTGGGCTTGGCGTGGGGCCTGAAGGGGGGTGGTGGGGATGGGATGGCACACCGTTTAGCAAGCGAGAAGAACACTCTCAACTATTGGCGGTGTGTTTGTTGACACCTCATAACGGTATTTATCTGTGCCCATATGTTTTGGTTTGTGTTCATGCATGTGTGAAAATGATGAGAGTACGTGTCAGTGTGTGTGTGTGTGTGTGTGTGTGTGTGTGCGTGCGTGTGTGTGCGTGTGTGTGTGTGTGTGTGCGTGTGCGTGTGTGTGTGTGTGCGTGCGTGTGTGTGTGTGTGCGTGTGTGTGTGTGTGCGTGTGTGTGTGCGTGTGTGCGTGTGTGTGTGTGTGTGTGTGCGTGTGTGCGTGTGTGTGTGTGTGTGCGTGTGTGTGCGTGTGTGTGTGTGTGTGTGCGTGTGTGTGTGTGTGCGTCGAGGTGAAGGTAGAGAACAAGCCGTGGAAGATTGAGGTACGCATCACTCAACTCCTCAACTGTGCAGCTTGCCTCGTGTCTGACCCATGTAGCGATGGCAGAGCGTGAGTTGTTTCAGATGCCCCTCTCCTCTTCTGCATGCCTTCCCCCCCAACCAAGTTACATCAATTGTCTGCCAGGCGATGAATCAAAACCCAGCAATATATCTAGCCTGTAATTCGGTTACATCGACTGTTTCCCTTGCCTGCTGGCAGGCAGGCACGCGCAAGCTAGAGGTGGAGCTGACGACAGTGGCGAGCAACCACCACGTGGAGCTCAGTCCCAGCGATGCCGGCTTTCAGGACCGATACGTGGTGCAGGAGATCATCAAAGACCTGGCACGGAATAGGCCCATTGACTCCAAGGGCAACAGAAGCTTTAAGGGTGCGTGTAGGGTGCAGGGTGGGTTGTTGGGTCGACTCAATGGGCTTCCAGGATCGCTATGTGGTGCAGGAGATCATCAAGGACATGGCAAGGAATAGGCCCATCGACAGCAAGGGGAACAGAAGCTTCGAAGGTGAGACTAGTGTGGGGATGGGTGGCTTGTGATGTGAGTCCACTCGAAGGGCTTTCAGGACCGATATGTGGTGCAGGAGATCATCAAGGACATGGCGCGCAATAGGCCATTGGCAGCAAGGGGAACCGCAGCTTCAAAGGTGTGTGTGGAACGGGTGTGGCCGTGGGTGGCTGTGCGAGGTGCGTGGCTCTTGAGGCGCCTCAAAAGCCGACTCTGGCAGTGTTGGACGGTGTGGCGCTGGCTGATCTTGAGGGAGGTTGGTGTGCCATTCATTGTTAGCATTGAGTCGCATTGACAAGTATGTTGCTGCAATCTAGGCAAGTCGTGGTCAGTCAATACTCAGATGGCTAGTTGCCTTTCCACGGTCAGTTCTGGTGCCTTTTTCTGTCTACCAACCTCTCTGTTCTAGTTCACTTTTTTTTTCCACACTTCCTCTCCACCACGCTTCCTTTTTCCCTCTTCACCTCTCTTCACCCCGCCACCAACCCCACCCACCCCAAGCAGTGCTGGTGCTGAACGAGGTGGATCATCTAAGCATGGAAGCACAGCATGCTCTCCCTCCCCTCTCCTGCTCTCTCCACTCTTTCCCTCCTCCCTCTCCCTCTCCCCCTCCACCCACCCCCCCCTTACCTCAAGCAGTGCTGGTGCTGAACGAGGTGGATCATCTAAGCAGGGAAGCACAGCACGCACTGCGGCGCACCATGGAGCGCTACACTGCTGCATGCCGCATCGTCATGTGCTGCTCCTCCGCCTCTCAGGTGAGATGGGCAGGTGAGGTGAGGTGAGGTGAGGTGGGCAGGTGAGGTGAGATGAGGTGAGGCGAGGTGAGGTGAGGTGAGGTGAGGTGAGGTGAGGTGAGGTGAGGTGAGGTGAGGTGAGGTGCCGCATTGTCATGTGCTGCTCCTCCGTCTTGCAGGTGAGGTGGGCTGGGCAGTGAGGCGCTTTACGGCTGAAGAGCGCGTGCCGTGTTGTGGAGCCTGCCTGCTTCCGTGCTCCACTGCACTGGCAGTGGCAGTGCTCCTCTGCACTGGCAGTGGCAGTGCAGGCAGGCAGCAGTGGAGCGCCGTGCCATCTCGTGGAGCAGTGCTCCACTGCACTGCTGCCTGCCTGCCCTGCCAAATGCCTCCCCTTTTTTGCCAAAGCAGTGCTCCCCACCCCAAATGCAGTCACTCATGCCTGACTTGAGTTGTTGCCATGCCCTTGATTTGATCTGCCTGTCCCATCCTGACATCCTTTATAGCCCGCATGCATTTGTGGGTTTCGCCAGTGATTGGTTTGCACTCCGTTCTTCCTGTCATACGTCTGTGTCCACTCAGATTGCATTCTGTGCTGCCATGCTGCCGTGTTGCCTTGCCTGCCACCCCACAGGTCACAGAGGCTCTTCGCTCGCGATGCCTCAACCTCCGCATCGCTGCTCCATCCCACGATCAGGTGTGCCCCTCTTACCCATGTGTCGTGCAACTACACGCACTCACTCACACACCCTCACCCTGTTCCTCCGTGTTCCCTCATCCCAGGTCCTGGTCTCCTCCCTGCTCGCTCTATTCCCCCCCCCCTGCCTTCCTTCGCTGATAGTGGACGTGCTACAGGAGGTGGCCGGCAAGGAGAGCGTCAGCCTACCGCTGGTCTGCCAGGGCTGTTGTTAGTCGATTCACAACACACCCTGTCTGCGCCCCCCTCCCACCAACCCCCCCCCCCCCTCCCCATGTGCGGCAGATAGTAGACGTGTTACAGGAGGTGGCCGGCAAGGAGGGAGTGACCTTACCGCCGGTGGTGGCAGGGCGGATGGCGGTGAGCAGCAACCGCAACCTGCGCAAGGCACTGCTCTCCCTCGAGGCTGCCAAGGCCGCTCAGTGAGTCCCCTGCCTGCCTGCGAACCCAGTGAGTGCCTGCCTGCGAGCTCATCTCCTGCAGCACACCGCCCTGTACTCCCTCTCACTCCCTCTCACCGCTGTCCCCCACTCTGCATGTGCGCAGCTACCCCTTGAGCGACAACCAACCGGTGCAGCAGAACGACTGGGAGCTCTGTGTGGCGGAGATCGCTGCTGAGTTGACTTTTGAGTCGCCTCAAAAGTCAACTCCTGCAGCACACCGCCCTGTACTCCAGCTCACTCCCTCTCACCGTTCTCCCCCAATTCCCATGTGCGCAGCTACCCCTTGAGCGACAACCAGCCGGTGCAGCAGAACGACTGGGAGCTATGTGTGGCTGAGATCGCTACTGACATCATCAGCGAACATAGCCCCCGCCGGTGAGGCACGCGTAGGCGGGTGGGGGGAGGGTGAGGAGGGATTTTGAGTGGGACCATCCTGTTGCGATTCGAAAGGGAATGGCTGAATGCTTTTCACGTCGTATAGAGGGTGGAAGTGTGAAGGAAGGAGTTTAGGAGCCAAGAAGTTCATAACTTCTCCCTTTCTGCTAACCCCACCTCGTGCGATTCCATCTTCACCCACCTCCACTCCACCTCACGCCATATCCGCGCTTCTCTCCTACTCCCCCTCTTCTACACCCTCTCTCTTCAGACAGTTGCTGCCCTCTCCTCCATCCGCCTCTGCCCTCTCTCCCCCGTGCCCTCCATGCCAGGCTGTTTCAAATACGAGCCAAGCTCTACGACCTTCTAATCAACTGCATCCCGCCACACCTCATCCTCAAGGTAAGCCTCTACACCCATCTGATCCAGTGCCTAGGCCCTAGTCCAATGCCTGAGGTGACTTTTGAGTCGGCTCAAAGCCATAAACCACCAACCGCTCTCCACTCACCCCCAGCGTCTGACAGTGGAGCTGATGTGCTAAATGGACCTCACAACCTCCCCTTCTCTCACATTGCTTCCTCCTCTTATTCACCCTCACCCCACCCTGTTCCCCCTTCCAGCGTCTGACAGTGGAGCTGATGTGCTAAATGGCCCTCATAACCTCCCCTTCTCTCACATTGCTTCCCCCTCTTCTTCCTCCCGCCTTCCTCCTTCCTCCCCCCTCACACGCCCACTTGCCAGCGCATGACGGTGGAGCAGATGTGCAAGATGGGCCCTCACAACATCCCCCTCTCTCACATAGCTTCCTCCTTGTCTTTTCCCTTCCTCTCTTTCCTTCCCCCTCCCCCCCCTTTCCTACTCCAGCGACTGACAGTGGAGTTGATGCGCAAGATGGATGCGGAGCTGAAGCACGACGCACACGCATAACCTCATAACCTCAAGCCCCAACCCCTTGCCACGCATCCCCCCCCTCCCTCCTTGCAGCGCCTGTCAGTGGAGCTGATGCGCAAGATGGATGCTCATGACCTCACTGATCCCCCACCACCCCCAACCCCCCTCCCCCCCCCCCTCCACCCCCCCCCCCCCACAGCGCCTCACAGTGGAGCTGATGCGCAAGATGGATGCGCATGACCTCACTGATCCCCCAACCCCACCCCCCCCTCTTCCCCCCCCCCAGCGCCTGACAGTGGAGTTGATGCGCAAGATGGACGCGGAGCTGAAGCACGACGTGTGCCACTGGGCCGCCTTCTATGTGCGTGCTGCTGCAAAGGGGGAGGGGGAGGGGGAGGGGGAGGGGGAGGGGGAGGGGGAGGGTGAGGGGAGATTGAGGGTGAGGGTGAGGGTGAGGGTGAGGGTGAGGGTGAGGGTGAGGGTGAGGGTGAGGGTGAGGGTGAGGGTGAGGGTGAGGGTGAGGGTGAGGGTGAGGGTGAGGGTGAGGGTGAGGGTGAGGGCGAGGGAGAGAGGTGGTGATGGTGATGATGATGGTGATGGTGATGGTGATGGTGATGGTGATGGTGATGATACTGGTTATGGTGATCGTGGTGGTGATGGATCTGGTTATGGTGGCGGTGGTGGTGGTGGCTATGGTGATGCTTATGGTAATCAGAGGGTAATGGTTGTCACTGATGGGTGGTCATTGGTGGGTCGTCATTGGTGGGTGGTCATTGGTGGGTGGTCATCGGTGGGTGGTCATTGGTGGGTGGTCATTGGTGGGTGGTCATTGGTGGGTGGTCATTGGTGGGTGGTCATTGGTGGGTGGTCATTGGTGGGTGGTCATTGGTGGGTGGTCATTGGTGGGTGGTCATTGGTGGGTGGTCATTGGTGGGTGGTCATTGGTGGGTGGTCATTGGTGGGTGGTCATTGGTGGGTGGTCATTGGTGGGTGGTCATTGGTGGGTGGTCATTGGTGGGTGGTCATTGGTGGGTGGTCATTGGTGGGCGTGCTGTTGCTTCCGATCACAGCTCATGCTTGACGTATGTTCCTAACCACCCTTAGTGTGCGTGTATTGAGGGGAGGGGGCTACTGGTTTCAGGAATGGAAGGCTGGTGGGTGGGTGGGTAACAGTGGGTTGGGGGCTCTATCCTTGCTGGTGGTAACTCCTTTGAAGATCCTCAGCCGTTTACTGGAAGATCGTCTTTCCGCAGTTTGTCGTTCAAGGGGCATCATGCTAAGTGGGCTTACTGCTTGTGGTCGAGTGGAGGCATGGAGTTACAATTCTCTCAACCCCTTCAATGCCTACAATGCATCACATGTATGGCAGTACTGTACATTGACGGCCATTTGAGTCGACTCAAATGGCAGTACAGTACAATGACGACCATTTGCTCGCCTTTGTATGTGTGGGTGTGTGTGCATGAGCAGGAGCACCGGTTGCATCTGGGGCAGAAGTCGATATTCCACCTGGAAGGTATGCTGTTTGGACCACATGCCAATGCCCGGTACCCAAACTGTTGCTGTTGCTGCGCCATCTATCAACCCAACCCCTCCCATGCACTGTTCACTCGTTGAGTCATGAATGGCACCCTCATCCCGTCATGAATGGCACCCTCATCCCGTCATGAATGGCACCCTCATCCCGTCATGAATGGCACCCTCATCCCGTCATGAATGGCACCCTCATCCCGTCATGTGATTCTTCGTTGTGGGTGTCTTCTAAACCTAAAAATTTTCAGGCCCTACCTCAGCCCCCCCCTCCCCTCTTCCCAACCTTCCCCCCTTTCCTCCCTCGCTTCCCTCGCTGCGTTTTGCCCGTGCAGCCTTCGCTGCCAAGGTCATGGTGATCTACCAGGAGTCCCTCATTCATGCGTTAAAGAGACTAGACCCCACCCCAACGCCCCCCTCTCCCCTCTCCCTTCCCTCCGCTGTGTTTCACCCGTGCAGCCTTCGCTGCCAAGGTCATGGCGATCTACAAGGAGTTTCTCATTAACGCGTTTGGTTGATGCAGAGGTTCCGTGAATGCATGTCATGCCGGTACCTTAATCCCCCGGATGTTCCAGTGCTCCTGCTCAATGGGTCACTAATTGAACAACGCAGCCTTGGATTTTTGTGATGATGGAGTACGCAATTCTACATCGTTTTTTTGTCACCAACAGAGTAACAGATTGTCAGGTAATAAAGGGAATATGCAATTCTTGGCTGAGTTCGTATGGCAAAATCTGAAGAGGTTATATCTGTTACAATCATATGGGAGACTTTGCCAGAATCGTGCTCAGGGTTGATCGCAAAGTGATATTGCATCGAAAGTGATTGACTCCTAGTCAGAGTGAATGTAAATGACTGAAGTACAATGGTTTATATAAGATTACAAAGGAATACGTGTGACTTGATCCTCCATTGCAACAGTGTCATGTGCATAAAGGGAATCAAAAGAATCATGCCTTTCTGCCACCGCCGCCAGCAACGTCGTTAACGTTGCTCTGATTATTGGTGCTGCACCTGTTAGAGCTCCCTTACTGCTTCCCGTCCTCGTGCGTGCTTGCGTGTCACCATACATTGCTTTTGCCAAAGCAATGTTCTTTGCTGTTACGTCATGCACACGTGGCATGCGAAGGGACTGGAAGCTTTCCAGTGCATGCCTGACAAAATGAGATGGGAAGAGGGAGAAATAAAGAAAGAGATGATGCAAGTGGTACTTCAGTAGAACAGTAGGAAAGCGTAGGCAGAAAATGATGAACATCATGTGAAGAAGCTGAGTGGGGCCATGAAAATGGTGAGGCATCCAACAAGTGAGGCATGCCTACCACCAGCAACAGCACCATTTGTGAAGCAATAAAACCCACCTGACATGCAATAACAACCACCTGGCAACCGCCCTGACAAGAACCAACACCCACCTGACAAGAACCAACACCCACCTGACAAGAACCAACACCCACCTGACAAGAACCAACACCCACCTGACAAGAACCAACACCCACCTGACAAGAACTAACACCCACCTGACAAGAACCAACACCCACCTGACAAGAACCAACACCCACCTGACAAGAACCAACACCCACCTGACAAGAACCAACACCCACCTGACAAGAACCAACACCCACCTGACAAGAACCAACACCCACCTGACAAGAACCAACACCCACCTGACAAGAACTAACACCCACCTGACAAGAACCAACACCCACCTGACAAGAACTAACACCCACCTGACAAGAACCAACACCCACCTGACACGAACTAACACCCACCTGACAAGAACTAACACCCACCTGACAAGAACCATGACCCACCTGGCATGTGAGTGGGCGGATGCATTCCACCATCTGCTTTTGTGTCAACTCAAAAAGAACCTCAAATGCAACAACCTCAGATGCGCCAACACCCACCTAACATGCGCCAACACACACCTGACATGCGCCAACACCCACCTGACAAGAACCAACACCCACCTGACATGTGAATGAGCGCGAATGCATTCTACCATCTGTGCCGCATCCTCAAACGCCATGTTCGCCCCCTGACCCAGCTCTGGCGTTATTGCATGCGCCGCGTCTGCAAAGACACACAGCCAAGCACGGAACACGGAGGAGAAATAGAGGAGAAAACAATAACAAAGAAAGTTTGCCTTCTTGTGTGCTAGCTATACGCATTCAAAGAATTGGAGCGCAGATGATGCTAAGGGATGGGGGAGAAACAGCATTTGTTGTAACTGCGTCTCGCGTAATTCAAGTCCTCACGCAGAGCCGACCCAGACTCACCTCCCAGCAGAGCAGTCCTGCCTTTGACCCAGAAGGGCAGGGTTGGCATGTCAAGCGCCCGGCGCTCATGAATCAGCTCCGGTGGAGTGGCCTCGACCAACTGAGGCAGCACATCCCACCCCTTCACTGCTCGCAGGATCTTCTCCTTTGCCTCCTCCCCACACCTTGATCGGCTGCTGCTGACCGTTGGATCGGCCCCGTCGGGGAGCCCAAGCCCCCAGTAGAGCTTGCCTTCGTGACCGTTGACGACGACTCCCAAACGGTCGCCAGCCATTATGGTCAACGTGGTGTGCGGTTGCAGCAGCTGCGGGAGGGAAGGCATGGAAGGAGGCATAAGGAGAAGAATTATGATAGTGCAGTGGATACATACCAGCCTGCCCTGATGATCATCACTGATGGCTGCGGTGCATTTGTCATTCGGTCCAATCAGCACATGATGTGGCTGGAATAACTGCACAAGGCCAAGCAGGGAGTGGAAGAGTGATAGGGTACAAACGAAGACACATAAATTCCTGATTGACTGTTTGAGCATTGGTGGCGACTTCTGTGCTGTTAGTGTCAAACGCACCCAAGGGGGAATGGCTGCAGATGCACCTGTCGGCTGGTAACTGCGCTGGGCTGCCATACGAACACGCCGGCTGGTAAGTGCGCTGGGCTGCCATACAAACACGCCGGCTGGTAAGTGCGCTGGGCTGCCATACGAACACGCCGGCTGGTAAGTGCGCTGGGCTGCCATACGAACACGCCGGCTGGTAAGTGCGCTGGGCTGCCATACGAACACGCCGGCTGGTAAGTGCGCTGGGCTGCCATACGAACACGCCGGCTGGTAAGTGCGCTGGGCTGCCATACGAGCACGCCGGCTGGTAAGTGCGCTGGGCCACCATACGAACACGCCACTATAACACAACACAGTGGTCACAGGCCCATTTCCTAGTACCTGCTTGCAACATTTCCTGAGACTTGTCGTGTGCCCAGTGCTGCAGAATATCACTTGGAAGGCATGACCAGAGTAAGGTGAAGCAGGAGATTGCTCATCAGTTAAGAAGGCGTGATTAGGCTGTTAATGGAGTAGTCAGTAGTGACAATAGATAAGTCGATTATGGTATTGGGTTAGTTATGGTCGAGGTGGAGTTGAACGTGTTGTGATGGGATGTGAGAGGCGATGGGGATGTGACGGAGGTGGCACACGGGGAGGCGATGGGGATGTGACGGAGGTGGCACACGGGGAGGCGATGGGATGGGAGGAGTGAGATACGATTATGAAAGGGAAAGAAACAGGGTAAATATGTGCGAGGATCCCATCCCAAGGCAGCCGGAAGGGAAAATAGTGGAGTCATCTACATGAAAACGCCCATCTAATATACTAGAGGGTTTGAGTGAATGGTAAAAGGGGGCTCTGAACGTCTAAAGTGGTGGGGATGCGACGGTGTCAACTAAAGGAGGAGCTAAATAAAATGCACACGGAGAGATGGGGCTGGAAATGAGAACATTATTGATTATTGAGAGGTCAGGTCACAGAACAGTCTGAAGCGTGAGGCTGAGGCAGGGCTGAGGGAGAGGAGAGGCGGCAAGCCTGTGAGGCAGACCTTCAGTATGACATACTGGGTGGGGGACAAGGCTGCTGTCGATGATGGCCCTCCAGATCGTCCGCCCTTTGTCTTGAGGGCCCACTCCCTCCCCCACTAACCCGCCATTCTCGTTGCGCTCTTCCTCCTGCCCCAGCAGATGCCTTCTAGTTTCGGAGAAAATGCCGTCTGCTCCCAGCAGAAGCGGGGTCTGGCGGGTGGAGTTACAGCAAGGAGAGGCAAAGGGAGAGTAAGAAGAGGTGAAGGAAGAGTAAAATGGGTAAGGGTCGAGTAGGGAGAGTTAAGGGATAGTGGACAGGAGAGGGCTGGGGGAATGCGGGGAATCCATGAGTGGGGGTGAAAGGGAAGAGGGGAGCAAGCAGTAACACAGTGAGACAGCACAGAAGGAACAGTTGTCCAAATCATCACCCACAACCACCAACTGCAATTCACCATCCGCTCCCACCACCACTCCACCCTTAACAACCACCCGTCTCTCCTTCCCCCCTCTTCCCCTTCCCCTTCTCCCCGCCTCCTTCCCCCCACACTCCCCACTTCCCCTTTCGCTCCCCTCCCTCACACACTTCATCCCAATCTTCAACCACAGGCTACCCTTCACCGCCCCAAGCTCCCCACTCACCTCCACCTCCACCTGATGCTCCGTGCCTTCCGAAACCTTCTGGAAAACGCACTTCACCCTGCCATCCCCGCTGCCGCCCCCCTCCGCCTCCTCCCTTTGCGACATTCCAACAAGCCTGTAGCCGGTGTGGACGGCGTCTTTTGGCAGCATTCTGAAGAGCACATCGCGCACCTCCTGCCAGCCAATCACCAGCATTGGGAAGCCGTACCGAGCTGCCATGTTGGTCGACAGGTCCCAGCGGGACAGACGGTGGCCGAACGGGGTGAGGAAGAGGCATGTAGGGTTTGGGACTCCCCGAGAAAGTAGCTGCATGAGGAATGGGGGAACGGGGGCATGCGTGAGTGGAACGGAATGGAACGGAAGCATTGGGAAGCCGTACTGAGCAGCCATGTTGGTCGCCAGGTCCCAGCGGGAGACGGTGGCCAAACGGGGTGAGGAAGAGGCATGTAGGGTTTGGTACGCCACCAGAAATCAGTTGAAGGAAAAAGGGAACGGGGGAATGGGGGCAAGGGGGAATGAGGGAATTGGAGTGGGGAAATAGGGGAATGGGGGGAAGTGGAGTGGAGGAATGGGGAAAGTGGAGTGGGGGTATCGGGGAATGGGGGAAGTGAATTGGGGGAATGGAGGACTGGGAGAAGTGGAGTGGGGGAATGGTTGAAGTGGAGCGGGGGAATGGGGGAAGTGGAGTGGGGGTATGGGGGAAGTGGAGTGGGGGAATGGGGATAGGGAAAGAAGAATGGGGTTGCTATGGAGAAGCGGAATGGATTTTTGGGAAAGGGGAATGAAAAGCGATAAAAAAAACACAAGAGGAGCAAGGGATGTGAAAGGGGATATGTGTGGGCATGCGGCGTGCCTGCGTCACGATGGCCGGGTCGATTCGGTTGAGCGCTCTGAGGCCGTTTGGATAGAGAGTCATGCCAATGCCCTCCCCGGTCACATCGGTACGTGCCTCGTATACCTGCGCATTTACACGTTTGCGATGTGTCAAAATCTTGCACGTTTGCGATGTGTCAAAATCTTGCACGTTTGCGATGTGTCAAAATCTTGCACGTTTGCGATGTGTCAAAATCTTGCACGTTTGCGATGTGTCAAAATCTTGCACGTTTGATGTAGGCATCACGATGTGAAACTACATGTGCCACATGATAGTGATTGAACCATTACTAGTGAGGCATCCAGCGGAAATGTGTGACAAACAGCTTCAGTCGGTTCACATGGAGCCACGTCGTGACTAGTAACAGCAATGTTCCGTAAGCGTAGCAAATCTTCGAGATTCATGAAACTACTATTTCACACCCCCCCATCACCTGGGCGTCAATCCCAATGTTCCGAAGGCCAATAGCCAGTGCGAGACCGGCCAACCCTCCACCCACGATGACTGCCTCAGAAACTGCCGGCCCTCCGTCTGTAGTCACGGTGCTGCTGGCAGCAACAGCGCAGGTAAGGGCAGAAGCAGGAACATCAGTGCTTCCATGGTTCTTCTTGAAAGGCGTCACACGCAAGGCTCTGCTGCTTCCTTCCTGAGGCTGCCGAATGCTTCTGCCGCCGCGGTCAAGCGCATAACGATCGACGCGTGGCGCTTGTTTCATAAAGTTATTGGATCGAGAGTTCTTGCTGGAAGACGAGGCTACTAAGTTTCTGTCCATAAAGTGGCCAGCTGGAGAGCATGCTCCCTGAAAACACGACGTTTGTGCGATGTTCATAGCCGCCATTTTGGCGAATAAATGGGCGTCACACAGAGCCCTAGTAGCAGTGGCCCGGCGCCAAACGGATACGGTTTGAAGACTCTGCTTAAAGCCGCGGTGAAGATATCGGGCCGAAAGTTCAAAGTATTATAGTTTGAACGCCCCCGTAACCCTGTATAGACAGGAAAGTGATGAGGCAGGGGTTTCTGCCTGCGGGGGACGGGCGTGCGGAAAAGTGCTTCGCACTATGATGTGTGGGGGGGGAAGCGGGGGAGGGCTCTGGGAAAAGCTCCGCACACCGAGATAGGGAAGAGCGCAGCTGGCAAACTTGAAAATTCAAACTTGAACTCAAAACAACTCAAAATCGGCAAACTCCCACGCTAGATGTAACGCATTGCCCTAACTAAGCTAACTAACCAACTTCTCTCTAGGCGAATGTCGAGAGTAATCTCGACAAAGAGGGACTTGGAGAAGAAGGTTGGCTTTGGTTGGGATGGAAGGGTTGGTTTGGTTTTCCAAACCTCAACCAAGAGGATTGGGAAACTCCAACCCATCAAAGTGAAATCACAAAGGTTGGAATTCCAACCAATCAGAAACTGCCAAACAATTGTTACAATCTACTCTATCCTAAACACAACCATTGAATGGTTCTAAGTTGGGTTTTCCAACCCAACACAATTGCCACATAGGCTCCAAGCCTAGGAGCCATCCCACCATGGAAACCATGGTTGGGATAGTCCCCCAAGGGGTGTATTGAGGGGGTCTGAGCTAAGGGCGCGTGTGATCCGTGAAATTCGTGAAAGTTTACATTTTTTGGGCGAGTTGTGCGAAGTGAACATAAGTCGAATCAATCTCGACTTCCTTTGTATCGGGGTTCGCACATCTGGACCACAACACTGCAGAAAAGCACACACACATACAAGGTCGAGTGCGCGTATTCGAACTTGTAAAATCGCACCGAGCCGCATTTCTACAACGTAGGTTACCCGGTTCAGACGTCTTGACAGTGCGCCACGCGGCCGACGTGCGCCTCGGTTTCGGATAGCCTAGACCTCCAGCTCACCTTCAACACTGGGGTACAAATATCAGAGGTTGCCCACCTGGAGCTCTCGTCATTCCCCAAACATGACGATTCTCGCCACGTGGCCTCTATTCAGTACACGAAGGCTGTGGTGAGTTCGTTGTGCCACTGTTGCTACTCGTGAGTCGCTCGCACATTTCGCCCGATGACTGAACGTGCGGGAAATCACACACGTGAATGTGAACATGCCGAAGCACGTTCACAACTAAAACTCGAGTCTTGTTCAAGTTTGCAGTTCGCATGTTGCCAAACCCAAAGTTGACGAATTTTCGCTAATAGCTCCATGCGATATTGGCGAAACGGGTAACCACCCAAAGTTCGCACTTTATTTTGAACTTCAAAACCGACCTCACACGCCCTAAGCAAGCTCATTCTCAACCTCCCATTCCAACTAAACAATTGGAAATGGGATTGTTTCTCTAAGTCTTTTTGGGGCTCTCTCACAAGCCTTCCTACACAACTCTCTCAAAGTTGTTTCATCAACTCATTCAAGAAGATTTGTTAAGAATAGTAGTAGAAACAAGAATGAAGGAAGGAGTGGATTTCACTAGCTGCAGTTGGGATACATATAGCAAACCCTAACTGGGTTGTACCCGCTATAGAGCACCCCACTACAGGCTAGATAATAACATTCTGACACACCCCCATAGCCAAAGTGGGGTATAATCAGCACAATGAGCAGGCATAGCAGGAGTTCACAATAATAAGCAAAGCTAGAGGTAATCACAGCGGGCAAGTGAGGAGGAGGAGGAACTGTGGAAGGAGAGAAGATGGGAGGCAACGACTGAAGCTGCAGAGGCACGGGCACAGGAGCGGCTGACTCAGTGGCTACCGAAGCAAGGGCGACGGACTACTGGAGTGACTGGCTCCGCGGCTAAGACGAGCGGCAGGAGCAACGGACCCACTGGCGACTGGTGCAACAGGCTCACTGGCTACCGAAGCAAGGGCGACGGACTACAGGCGCTGCAGGCGACACGACAGCTACCTCCACACAACCTCCTCCAACTGACCCACACCCTTGACACACACCCCCTGCTGAAACCCTAGCTCCACTCCCACGGCACCCCCCTTAAACCCTAAACCCTCGGCTCCCACACACCCACCCCCCTCAGCGGCAGCTGCAGCAGTGGGAGACGGAGGAGGAGGAGGAGCAGGGGACAGCGCACACACTTGTCACCCCCATACTCGCCACCGCCAAACCCTAACGCAGGCAGGAGCGCGGGAAACAGCAGGGGCGGGGGCGGCGCTCGTGGCGAACCGGGACGGCGCGCGGGTCGACGGGGGGGGAGCGCGGAGGTTCCCGGGGGCAGCGCGCGGGTCCAGGGGAGGGGCGCGCGGGTCCAGGGGGACGGGCGCGCGCGTCCCCGGGGGCGGCGCGCGGCTCCCAAGGGCGCCGCGATGGGGAAAAGGGGGCCGCGCGCGGCTCCCCAAGGCCGCGCGGCGGGCAGACGGGCCGCGCGCGGCCTGCAGACCCGCGCGCGACCTGCAGGGCGACGCGACGGGAAGGGCGGGGGCCGCGCGCTGCTCCCCAAGGCCGCGCGACGGGCAGACAGGCCGCGCGCGGCCTGCAGACCCGCGCGCGGCCTGCAGGGCGACGCGACGGGAAGGGCGGGGTGTCGTGCGCGGGTCCCCCATGGCAGAAAACCGCCGCGCGTCTCTGGGCGCACGGCGGGCAGAATCTCGCCGCGCGCCCCGAGCGCACGGCAGGAAGAAGACGGCGCGCGCCCGAGGCGTGCGAGAAGCAGAACAGCAGCGGAAGCAGTTAGGTGGCGGGCCCACCCACAGGATCGACCCAAGGTGTTCGACCTGCTCTGATAGCATGGGAAGAATAGTAGTAGAAACAAGAATGAAGGAAGGAGTGGATTTCACTAGCTGCAGTTGGGATACATATAGCAAACCCTAACTGGGTTGTACCCGCTATAGAGCACCCCACTACAGGCTAGATAATAACATTCTGACAAGATTGACTTCCAAGGCTTCACCTACCAAGCTTCCAAATCTTGAGGCTACTATTAGGACTAGTCTTTACACTGTGTGTGTGTGTTTTTGGCGTTTTATAAGCCTACTATTGACCCTTTTGTGGGCATTCATTTATAAGCCCGGGTCTTTATTGTGATTTTAAGGGCGTTTTCATATAAGCCCGTGTTACATTTGGTATTCAGAGCTTTGGTTAACCTTGGCCTTGTGTGGCTAACTAGTTTTTTTTTTTTTTTTTTTTTTTTTTAGTTTCTAGATCTTAGATCTAGAAAAGTCTCAAGCTCTTTCTTTAAGAAGAGTTGAGAAACTCCCAAGATCAAGAAGTCTTCTTCAAGGATTTCCAAGATTTAAAAAGCTCCTTGAGCTTTAAGAGAATTTATTTCTCTGCCCACCTTCTTGGTGGAAGACTTATTACTATTTTTATAATAGCAGAGTGTTACAGATCTAAGAGATTTGTTAAAAAGATTCCTCTAAATTTGCTCTTTGAGCAATTTGGGGGAACTCTCTCTATTTCCTTCTTGGAATAGAAGACTTATTTAACAACTTTTATTCTGTAATTTTCTCTTTGTGAGAATATTGATCTATTAAAAGATCTCTGAAAATTTCAGAATTTCTTGCCTATCACTTAAGTGATAGAGGACTCTTCTTAAGATCATATTTCTTAACAAAGAAGAAGCACTCTCCCTAAACACCATCTCTTCAACCCCTCTATGGCTACTCCTCATGAGGAAGCACCCAAGGAGGATGTCCCTATGACCTCAGTTGATGATCTGGAAGACTTTCCAGACCTTGACCTTAACGCTGAGGATGGCATAGGAGACCTTCCTGAAGAGGAAGAAGAACTGGGAAACCAGGAGGAGAATGGAGATCAGGAAGGGCTTGATAATGCCGGCACCGATGATAACTTCCCTGAGGAGTTTGAAAAACTTCAAACCACGGTGGCCGAGCAAGCATCTTCCTTGCTGCAGCAGAAACGCAGGGTCAATGAGCTTGAGGCTCAAGTTGCTGAGCAGAAAGTTTCAATTGAAATAATCCAGGCTCAGCTTACCAAAGTCACTGCCGAGGCTCATCAGTTTAAGAGGTCTCTTGGCCTCAAGAACAACCAGATCAAGAGCCTTGAGGACACCCTGCAGCAGCTAAGTGCTACGTGCATCAGTCTCGAATCGACTTGCACGACGCTGGACGCGCAGTATAGGGAGCTCAGGAGGAGGCCGATTTATCGCCCCCCTCCTAACAACGGGCAGCCCTCTACTTCTGCCGGAGCTCCAACAGAGCAGCCGATGTCGCCTGACGTACCCGCATTTGGGTCGCTCCCCACTGGCTTGCCGAATTTCATTCATGGCAAGACGAACGTGGAATGCTGGCTTCATCACGTGGAGGAAATGCTTTCCATCCACAACGTGCGCCCTGATGCACGCGTTATTGCTGCTACTGGTGCTCTCGATGAGACTGCGCGCAACACAGTCTACAGCACTATGAAGCTCGCTGGAGCAACGTCGGCCACCTTCGGATGGTCCGATTTCTGCAGCGCGATGAAGGACGCTTTCCATGTGCAAAAGACTGACCTTGAAGTGCGCAGCCGCATCAAGAGCATGCAGTGCGGAAATCGCACTGTTCAGGAGTATGCTAATGAGTTCGAACGGACCATGCTGCTCCTGACTGTCGCTCTCACTGAGAACGAGGCAATGTCGTCGTTCTACGAAGGCTTACCCCAGTGGCTTCGCGAGAGACTCGTGCTGGGCATGAACCAGTACACTACGTACAAGGAACTCAAGACAGCTGTCATTGAGCTTGACGTGAGCGTCCGCACCTGCCTCAAGGCCGTCAAGGGTAACCTGCAGAGCGGGGATGAGGGCCCTAGTGGCCAGAACAGTGCGGCGCAGCCTTCCAATGGGAAAGGCCATTGGAAGAAGAGGCCATTCCAGCCGCAGAGCCAGCAGAATGGGCCACAGCCTAAGAA